CTAAATTAGGGACGGCTTGCGCAGATAGCCCTCGTGTAGCTTTGCGCGAAATTCAAAACAAACAATACTTTAACGATATTATTGGCCGTAAGTTATTGTTACTCATGAAATATTACAACGCTAAGATCCTAGTCTCGATTCTCCATAGTGTACAGAGTGCAGATAGCCTACTACATGTATGCAGTTTTGCGCTAAAACAAACAGTACCCGCCAGAGCTCAGAATCAGTGCTTTTTAGAATTCTGAGTGGAGCACCAACTTTTTTTCGAAAGCCAGTACCGAGTTCTGTAATTATTATTTTATTTTTTGTATTTCTGAATACTTCACTTTGAAGTGTGTATAAAGAGGTATTTTTAATTCGCAGAAAGTTTCTTATTCCACACAATGGAAGACCAGGCCCTGGCAAAGGTGAGTACCTGTAGTTCACCTGTGAGGCCAGGTCCTGGCAAAGTTGAGAACCTGTAATTCACCTGTGCAACCAGGTTCTAGGATAGGTGAGAACCTGTAGTTCATCTGTGAGGCCAGGAGAACTTCGTCATCGCAGTAACATTTAAACCTTGAAATGTTATTTATTTATAAAGTGAAAATGCTTTCGTGGTTCTTACTTTAGTTATGTAGAAACAAAGGTCACAAGGTAATACTGTCAACGGGACAAAGAAACCGAGTTGATCTGTAGAATTAATGTGTACTTTCTTAATTCAGTTTTTACCTGGAGTTTGAAAAGCGTAGCTCCACCTCGAGATCAGAGTTAGTTCAACAGAAGTGTATTCCGAGAGAAAAAAAGCTAGGGACATAATCACAATAAATATAAGTGACTAATTTTCATGTGCACAGTTACGTAACCTACATTTTATTTTATTTTTCTTGTAATAAAGATTATTTTCATTTTGTTAAACTTGTCCGGTTTCATTATTTCACACACACTAAGGAAACTCGATCAAGTTTTCAAATACAGGATACTCCTTTTATTTCCTGATAGAATCTGTTGTTTTTAGCGGGACTAACTAGCTGATACT